AGCAGCTCATCACTGACCATCCATCAGAAGGTGCTAGTATTTCAACGGACAAGTCAAAGGTTAGGAGCTAGACAAAACCAAATACTTGACCGGAACAGACTTTATTACAGACACTATTCTCACACTAATGACACTAAAAGACATACAAGATAATCGTCATAGTAATGGCACAGTCTGTGTGAGCAACACTTTAGTTAGTATAAAAGTCAAACGTAGATGTAGACATGTGAAATAATATGAGTGTGTACTTGCCCCTACGAGTGGATGAACATGTTTATATGAATGTAAGTGTTAGAATGATAACATTGATAGGCAAGTATGGAAGAGAACGCAAGTCAGATAGGTAGGTATCTATATGTATGGATATGTGTGAAAGGGAGTGCAAACATGTAATGTTGTTTGAGTGTTTGGATGCTCGGTTGTATGTATGCATGTATTTGAAGGTGTACATCCATATACCCCTGGAATTCATGCTTATAATCATCTTATTCCACATTATGTATCTAACATAAACATGACTGATGGAACTCACAATAGGATAAGACTGACAGCAAAAAGGGACGACAAATGAATCGATACTGACAGGACCAGAGCACCTAACCACCAATTCCACACCCTTCCCCCCCCCCCCATCTGTACGATAGTAAAGACTGGTGACGTGATGCGTATTTGAGGGATCTGGTATTTGCGTACACCAGAGCCTAGCTACCAACCCAGACTGATACAATTGGACCACACCATAACAAATAACTGACAGAAGCTTTGTGAGGCTCAAACTAACATTTCACTCACATCTCCAAGAGATGATTAACCCGTTCTTATCGCAGGAAGACAACTAAGAGACCACTATGGTCACACGTGGAATATTTTCACATTTCGGGTCTATACAAACCTAAAAACTGGTTTTACTACTTTTTTGCAAAGTAAAATACTCAAAATTTTAAAACTATAGATGATAGCGGTTTGACATGGAGGAAATATAGCTTTGGACTGTTGGCAGCCTCGGCTAGCTAGCAGCAGGTTGAACATGGTTGAGTTTTTGATTTTCTCTCAAAAGGAATTGGAATTGGAAGCTCCACAGCTGGGATCGAACCCTGCACCGCGGCATTACGAAGCCCTATCGCAACGCCTAAACCACAGACAAATCTGGAGTACTTATTGAAAAACTGATGACAATATCATTAAATAGTAAATTACATAACGCTGGGGACATGGCTGAAGACTCAAACCTTTTCCAGCGCATGCTTTTTCGGTGACTCAGTGAATAAGCTCAGGAGGATAGAGGAGTGCTGGCTGCGATGGCTGTGGGGTGGCGCTGACACATATCATGTTGATATTTGTGCCAGGGAACTTTGGCGTGCAAGGAAATGTGCAAGCTGATCGTCTTGCAGCTGAAGCAACAGTCAAAGGCAAACAAGCAATAGACCATGCTGATATACTGAATGCTTTGCGAGAAGTAAGACGATTTCGAGATCAAACTGATGACTGTGAATCTGCAAACCTTGACCAGACTGCAAGAAAAGCGTGTTAAAATCGGTGTGGCCAAACAAGAGCACTATTCAGGAAGCAAAAGAAGAATTAAAAACCAACACAAAACTTGTTTCGTGAGCCGCAACACGCTGCGGGATTGAATAAGGAGTAGATCCCAGCAGTTGTGGACTGAATGGTTGGATGTGCAATAAGGGTAATCCGTCGACTAACTAACTACTAACTAACTAATTAACTAGCTAACTAATCAACTAAGTAACACGACTCTGGGGTCTAGATTCTTATCACCTGCTACTTTTGTAGAAGGAATAGATTGTGGATTTTCTCTAATGATGTTTATATTAAATATTATCAACAGATATTGGAATAAATAACAGCATCGAGTTAGTATACATACCCACAACACACATGATAACATCCGGGTCTTGGCCAGGAATGTTGGCCAAAAATGGAAGAATATTATCCAAAATGAGCATCTTGTCCAAACTGTCCAGCAAATGATCAATACATGTCAGAGCATTCACGCGAATCTGAAGAATAAATAATGGATATTGATAAACTAAAAGAACTGTTCATTAGTAGGAGTCTCAGGATAGATGTTCATTAAAAGAAAGAAGCTTCATACACATTTTAAACATGTGGGTAAAAGAGAAAACTAAAAGTTGCTCTTATATCTTTATAATCTTAGTTTCAGCTTCATAACAAACTGGTCGTCTACCCATAGTTGCTCCGCCCTAGTGCCAAAGAAAAGCATACAGAATATCCATATTTGTCCCTTGTGAAACAAATTGCCCTAGACTGGTGTCTCATCTTATGCACAAGAATAACATGTAATAAAAGCATAGGCAGCCATCAGAAGTGATAACACAAACAGTCCGACATTAGACATGCAGTTCATCATCGACGGAAGTAGCAGTTACAAACACGCGATCAAATTTGATCACATAAGGTACCACCAATGCTGCAGCAGCAGGCCTCGTGCCATTTCCTGAACCTAGAGTTTACAACACCACCAATGCTGCCGCAGCAGGCCTCGTGCCATTTCCTGAACCTAGAGTTTACAACACCACCAATGCTGCGGCAGCAGGCCTCGTGCCATTTCCTGAACCTAGAGTTTACAACACCACCAATGCTGCGGCAGCAGGCCTCGTGCCATTTCCTGAACCTACAGTTTACAACACCACCAATGCTGCGGCAGCAGGCCTCGTGCCATTTCCTGAACCTACAGTTTACAACACCACCAATGCTGCGGCAGCAGGCCTCGTGCCATTTCCTGAACCTACAGTTTACAACACCACCAATGCTGCGGCAGCAGGCCTCGTGCCATTTCCTGAACCTACAGTTTACAACACCACCAATGCTGCGGCAGCAGGCCTCGTGCCATTTCCTGAACCTACAGTTTACAACACCACCAATGCTGCGGCAGCAGGCCTCGTGCCATTTCCTGAACCTACAGTTTACAACACCACCAATGCTGCGGCAGCAGGCCTCGTGCCATTTCCTGAACCTACAGTTTACAACACCACCAATGCTGCGGCAGAAGGCCTCGTGCCATTTCCTGAACCTACAGTTTACAACACCACCAATGCTGCGGCAGCAGGCCTCGTGCCATTTCCTGAACCTACAGTTTACAACACCACCATGGTCACAGCTGAAATTAAATTCGCAACTTAGACCGTAACTGAGCCACTATATCCTTTCAGTCTACAGTTGGAAGAAAATCAACAACCACTGTCTATCAGAACAAACAATTTGCAACGATAAAAATCAGTGACCATGTCTTTCGTCTATTGTGATCGTAATTTGTTTATACGGTATCTACACTTTCAAACGCCATCGTGCACTAGAGTCTGAATTTAGTCTATTCTTGGTAAATGATACACGAAGATATCAGAATAGTACAGTGAAATTACAAGCTATAATCTGAAACTTAAAATTGACAAGATGCTATCAACACCATGAAGCGTAAAACAAGAAGCATTAGTTAATTGAGCTTGTTTTTTCCCTTAAACTTTTTTTCCTAGCGGCATCGTTAAAAAACATTTTTCGCTGCACACCTACCCTTAAAGCGGTTGGAATACTTAGAAAAAGAAGAAAAACAGTGCAAAATTATTGTTCAGTTGTCTTTAATGCATATTAGAAAGATGGAAAGAATACTGTAGAGAAATGTATGAGGATGTGACAGTTAAAACGACTTGTGAAAGTTATGAAAAAGAACCAGAGCTTTTACTGGATAAGGTACGATCAGCAATACACAGACTGAAGAAAGGAAAGTCCCCAGGTTGCGACGAAATACCAGCATAACTAATTTAAGCAGGAGGAGAGGCCAGAGTCCGAATCTACCATGCACTGTGCTCGAAGTTCTGGAACAGTGGCATTTGGCCTAAAGCATGGAAAAGAACAATCTATTTCCCTCTCACAAAGAAAGGAAATCCAAAACTATGCTCCAACTACCGTACCATCGCATTAATAAGTCATGCTAGCAAAATCCTCATACGAATTATCATGAAAAGGATCGAAAGGAAATTACAATATGAGCTAGATGAAGCACAAGCGGGATTCAGACTGGGTAGAGAAACTAGGGGTCACATCTTTAAAATGGGAACAATTTTTGAAAAATGCAGAGAATACAACGTAGATCTTCATGCTTGTTTTATTGATTATATCAAGGCATTTGATTGTGTCTAACACCACAAACTGTGGACTATTTTGAAAAGTATGGGGTTTCCAGCGCATTTAGTACATTTAATTGAAAATCTTTATCATGAACAACAAGCAGCCATCAGAGCAGCTGGTAAAACATCAAATTGGTTCGAGGTGCAAAAGGGGGTGAGGTAGGGGTGCATTCTCTCGCCATACCTATTTAATATTCACGCAGAAAATATAATGAGAAATGTAAAAAAATGACCAGACTTGTGACAGTTATGATCCGCTCAAAATTGGTGGCAACCCTATTCCGGAACTCCGCTACGCAGAGGACACAGTCCTCCTTTCGAACAGTGTAAAGGGAATAGAAAATTTAATATTGGCTGTCCAAAAGCACAGTGAAGATCAAAATCTGTTCTTGAATTTAAAGAAAACGAAAATGATGCACACAGATAAAACTGGCTGTCACCCAAAAATAACAATAAATGATGTAGAAATTGAAAATGTCACAAACTTTGAATATCTAGGCTCTATATTAAACAACAATGGAGACTTTTCAATGGCCATTGCAATGAAGAGATTTAACAGCAAGGAGATCAAAATTAGAATTTTGAGAGCATGCATCTTCCCTGTGGCTACATACGGATGTGAGTCGTGGACTATATCTCAGTCCTTAAGAAAGAGAATAGAGCCTTTTGAGCTGAAATGCTATAGAAAGATTTTCAGAATATCTTGGACAAAGAAGATGAGAAATATTGACGTCTTAAAAGATCTGAACATCAAGGAAGATTGGCTAATAAACAGCATCCTTTCACGAAAGCTGAAATATTTTGGTCACATCATGCGCCACGACGGATTGGAAAAAAAAATGATAGCAGAAGGCATGGTACCAGGAAGGAGGAGCAGGGGCCGACTGACACGAACATGGGCACAGGATATAAGTGACTCCTTGAGGGTGAAAGTGCATGAGGCAGGAGAACTGGCGAGAGACCGAGTTTCTTTCAGGCAGACTGTGATGAGAGCAACGTTCTGCAAAGGACCTGCTACATGATGATGATGGTGATGTATTGAATGGAAAGGATGAAGTGTTTGGATAAATGTGTCATTATTTTCCCTCAGTTTATGGGAAGTTCAGTTAACTGCACCCTCAAATCAATTGGAGGTTGCTCCTGTATCTGTTTTTTAAAGCACTGCAACCTTGTCAATAACATTGTTTTCTGACTACACCTGCATCCATAACTCTTCTTTGCTTCCTTCGTGATATTTCTGTTTTAAACAGCTGTCTTCGCAGATCTTAAGCATTTTTGGAAAAGTTCATGATTATTTTTAAGGCACCCCTGACATACGCACCCAGTTCAAAAATTGATGAGTTAACTCGTCTTTTATCTTGAGCCTAGGGCGGCTCATAGCTCCCCATGTCTGGCGGTTCGTTGGTACCTGTTGTAAGCTCTGGATGTCTATCAGACCCATGTTTCAGCCTTCTCTGACGATGGTTCTACGCAGTGTCTCTCTTGGTCTTACCCGTTTTCCCTCTTTCCTGTCCATAAAAGGGCTTGATGGGGGAGTCTTGTTTTATCCATGTTGAGTGCATAGCCAATATAGTTCTAGCAGCACTTTCTTACAAACCTGGATACATTGTCTTGCTTGGTCTCTTGTCTTATTTATGTATTGGATCTAAAATCTGTCTAGTGGAGATTAAGTACTCTTGTAAGACATTTGTTCTCAAAACTGTCAAATATTTTTTTTTTAAATCTAGTGCTACCGTTGCTTTTCAACTCTCGCATCAAACAATTAGCACTGGAATCACTCAAGTGTTAAAGATCATAAGTTTCATGCTTTTGCTGAGAGTAAGGTATGTATTGTCGGTCGTTTTTTTCCCTCCATGGATTCCAAAGCTCTCTGATCAAGTCTGTGTTTTGTCCGTGTGCCTCCCGTAGCCCCATTGTTGTGAGGTAGAAAAAAAGACCTACTGCCGCCTTAAAAAAGCATGACGTAAGATTCAACCAATTAGTGGTTTCCTTCAAAGCCGGACTGTTTCTGCACGACAGTGAGCATAAGCTAGATGTGCATTCTAAACCCAGGTTCTAGAACCGGACCAAAGTCCAGCAGTGGGCAAACAATCAGAACATTCCGCCGGCGTTTACAGTCGGTGAAAGTGACAAATAAGTAGAAAAAAAAAGGTCTGTATTTTGTCTTGACATTATAAAGTAACTGTCTTATGTGTATTTGTCTTCCCCTCTTTTTTCACCTTCATGTTAGGCAGTTGTCACCAAGAACAGAACATTTTACTGTCTATATAATTGCTTCTAACAATTCACTGGTTAAGAACTATCTTATTTATTAAATGTGACATTGTGTTGTGTTACTTTTACTTTAAGGATGATCTCTACGATGTACTTGCGACTGGGTGCAACTAAATAATAGATTAAATACTTCATATTCTGTGCATTGCCTTTAATTTTACAATCAACACTGATCCATCCGTATATTTTGAGTGCGCGCGCGCGTGTGATTGTGAGAGTAATGAGTTATGAGTGATGAGTTAGATTATCTTCATAGCTCTCATTACACATCCATAGGCGATCAGCTTCCCCTCTCAACGCAGATTAATGCGTATTGCTTCATTTTGCACCTTCTCAAGTCTTTCAATTTGAGAATGGCTGACAGTGAGGATGGCAAGAGCATATTCGATGGGAGAAAGTACAAGTCCCTGGAAAAGAAGCAGAAGCAGTCTCTGCTCAGCTTTAGCGGCGGCCAGGACACCTCATTGCTGACAGGCCTTTGCGTCCTTGTGTTATAACATGGTCAACATGTTCTTTGAAGCATAGGCTGCGTCAAACCACTCCGAGGTATGTCTTCAGATTTGTTCTCGTCCAAATTTTCTCGCTACTTTCCATTGCTGGTAAGTCTGACTTCGCTATATGCGTGTTCAAGGAAAACCATGTTACTGGGGCCTTCGAAGGGTTGGCATAAGCATTAAATCTGCACACCAGGAGGAGATGCGATTAAGTTTACTCTGCATTGACTTGGCAATCTCTTGACAGTCTCGTCCATCTCGATATATTAAGAAGTCATCAGCAAATGACAAGGTCCTGCCACTCCCGTGCAACTTTTGCTCAGTTATCAGCACCGTGTACACGTTGAATAGCACTGGAGACAGCGGAGAACCTTGAGGCAATCCTAGGCTGATGGTTGTCGGTTCTGAGGACCAACAACCACACCTGCGTATAACCCGTCTCTGAAACAGTGCTGCAGTTACCCAGCGAGTAATTAAGGGAGATAATTGCAGTTGGAGAAATATGCGCACTAAGTATTCAAATGGTACTCTGTTGTATGCATCCTCTAAGTCTAGTGCAACTGCACATGTCTCTTCTCTCATCTGAAAACCTTCACAGACTTCACAGTCAAAAACTTCTGCATTGAGCCATGTCTCTTTGCTTCGTCTGTATTCTCCAAGTGTGGATGGTAATCTGTCATGCTTTCCCAAGTCATCAGCGAGTCTACGTGCTACAATTTTCTCCAGAAGCTTGCCTGCCGTGTTCTGCGTGGTAATGATTATGTAGCCGCTGATCTTAAAATTGTCTTATTTTTGGTTTTGGTAACGGTGGCAGGTAGCTGTGTAGCCACTCCTCTCTGATTTGACCACTTCTGACGCTGGCGTTGAAATTTCCTGCCAGTTCTGACATATCGTTCTTTGACATCGGCAGCATATCAGCATACTGAATGCTGTCAGGGCCTGGTGAGGTGTTGGGCGATTTTTTCATGGTTGCCTGTATGGTCTTGGTTGTAATACCGTAATGGTCACTTAGCTCTGCTTTTTTGTGTGTGTGTCTTAGGTAGGTGGGGGAGGAGTGGGGGGGGGGGGGGGGGGGGTCGTTTTGATGTTACGTTTTTTTCTCGATACAACGAAAGAAGGGCACGAGACTGACACATCCCTGAGGCACCCAGGCTAGTTATAATTTCCTGATTATCATATGTTGGGGCAGCAAAGTCTCAGGCATTTGCAGTCATTCTGAGATCTGCAAGCAGGGTCATCTATACTTTACACACACATAAACACACCCACACACACGCACAAAACGTACACGCACGCACGCACGCACAACGCTGACAGACATAAACACACACACACTAAAACATATACACACACAATCACCACCACAATGTTAAATGTTACATTTTTTTACCCACCTTTACACTGTTTGATCGGAAAAACAGTGATTTTGCTTTTGGTAGAACAACCTTCCTTAAGATGTTATCATCCAAAAACTCCTTGATGACTCCAACGGCACCTAACGCAGCTTCCTGAAATTGTCATGTAATAATAAATTGAATAATGACTATAGGTTAGTTATTAAATCTTTCAACTACTATAGGCTAATTATTGCTGCATCTGAGATACATGATTCAGCTTGATTATTACTATTATCTAAATGTTTCTTGGGGAGCAGTCGTGGTGTAGCGGCTAGGTGCTGAAGGTCGGGTTTTGAATCCAAACTGAAACGGATGGTAACACGTCACCCATGTGACGAAATTACCTCAGTGGCCTCGGAAGTTATATTCTGTGTAATAATTTCTTATTTTCATAGAGAAACAATTCACAATGTACTAAGCCTAAATAGGTCTAAAAACCGCATGGGATTTAATATAAAAAAAAAAAAAATGGCTAAAATGTGTTTCCAGTCCTTAGTGGCCAGAAAAAACAACCAAGCTTGGTTAGAAATCTGGTCGTTCTACCAGCTCGACAGAGTGTCATAAATGTTACATAACCAGACTGAGACTGGGCGCTTTGAACAAACTAGATCAGGAGAATTAACGTGGTCTAGTAGACAACTCTAGACATGATGGCGTACCCCTGACCGGCGTTTAACACCTGTCAGTGAGATTGGCCGTAAACGAGATTTGCTCAAGTAAAAATGTTTGATCTTAGTACTGGCCGTCCACAGTGACTGACAGGCACATTGATAGCTAATTTGATCGACAAGGTACCTCAGGGCGTGGCTTAGATCCTCTCCTGTAGGGTAGGTTAGAAACTAGAGAAGGGGAGGAGTTTAACCTTGCAGAGAGATACATATGTATTTATACTACTAGAATCTTGACTTTACCACATATCGCTGCCAGAAGGCCACAAACTCAGATTAACAGTAGAAAGTAATTGTAGATGTTTGATTCCTGGTTGGCAATTGCTAGAATGTTCAAGGTATGCTTGTTTAATTATTTTTTATCTTTTAATCAAAGGTTAGGGAGGTAGCTAAGTCTATTCTACCTTTTCCTATTTTTGTTACACATTCTGCTTTAAACAGTTATTTGTGAGTATTTAGTTATCTCAGTTAGGGAACTGCTAAGCCATTCCTATTTCTTGTATGTTTGTATCACATGTTTTTCAGTGTATGTTTTCATGTATATAAAATAAGACTTGTATAATGGAATGTAACTAAATTATGTTGACTCATCAACCAAAATATGAGCCTGGACTGTGGGGAAAGGATGCCCACATGTACAGCCATGTGGTTACGTTTTTGTGTGTGCCCACCATGTGCTCACTAAATGGGTTCACCTAAACAGGAGATTGATAACCCTGGGGGGGGGGGGGGGGATCAAGGGTTTATAGAATTCACTGTAACTGGAAAGATAATATTTAGAACAGCGCAAGTATAAAATATTCCTGTCTTCAGCACATAAATTGCGCTACACGTTCATGTCAAAACAATGTCAGCCAGTTGGAAGTCTGAGTGATGACGGACAACAGACGTTGGAAGTCAAATATCATGACAGAACATGAGAGGCAAGGCAGGATATGTTAGACGTCAGTGTGAGACACAAGACCTTTAGACTAGACGGGAGAGAATTGTAATATGAGGAGGAGTGATGAGATATATTTTAATTTTATATATATATATATATATATATATATATATATATATATATATATATATATATATATATATATATATATATATATATATTGTATTATTTGATACATGTTTTCTTAGTGTAAGTCTAGATACTACACATATGTGTTTGTTTCCATTATTACAGCCCCCATGGGGATGACGACCAGTCATTTCTGATAACAGAAACAGAGTGCCCACGTGCACGAAACTAAATTGCGTTAAAGATCGGCCAGCTGGGAACTGGGTGGAAAACCGGCGCTGGAATGAAAAGGCAGAAAAGTTGGAACAGCTAGGAAAAGCTAAGAACTGACTCAACAAGACAGCTCTCAGAGGTTCCACTTTATAAAATTTCATAAGTTACGTACAATGTATTTATGTGCGTAAACTTATCCCCACCATTATCACTTCACTCTAATCTTAGATGCTCAGTTATCTAGCTGAAGCATCTTATTACTACAATACCATCACTGTTTACTAAAACTATAACTAACAAAATGATTGCTTGGTTAATAATTCAAATATATGGTCTTATCCTGGATCAGGCATTGTAATTACAAGTGTGTCTGTTCGTACAAGTTTAACTAAATTGTTAAGATAGAATATCACTTGGTGGGAGCTCATTAATAATAAAAATTCTTTATTAGGAGAAGGTAGTCGTGAGGGGTTATCTGCACTGTCTACTAATTCATTAAATATAATAATATAGACATCCAAAACCCCTTTCCTTCTCCTATGGGTACCAAGTGCACCTACTGTTAAAGAACATAACGAGCCAATATGGTTGTTTTCTTGGATATCCAGGACTTTGTCTGAGAGCAACATAGCTCGGATATTAGTTCAGTTAATTTGGTGGAGGGGATGTGTTGAGAGGACAGTTCCTAATCATCATAAAAGAATAAAAGTATCAAACCACTGCCCGTTTCGCGATAACCCACATAATGCTGATCTGTTTGTAAAATATTAGGTCTAGCACAATATGACCAACACGCGTAAAGGGGTGGAAAGTAACCCTTGACATGTTTCTCTTGTGTGGTCTTAATTCGTTTGAATCGGAAATTACCGTCAGAGTGAGTTACTCAATAAAAAGTATCTATTTTAATCTGTAACAATGCATTCAATACAATGTGTCTAGTTTACTTCAGAAATTGTACATCTGTTCTGTTGTTGTTTTACTTTATTTATATTATACTCTTTCTACGCACTGAAGACTGTGAACATCGGGCAGAACCAATATTTTAATTGATCAATCAACATTTAGTAGGTGACATAACCCAGAATGCTCGACAATTATGTCAAATGGGTACAGATCTAATTATTCCCAAGGCTACATAAAGCTCTTCAGGAAGATGCTATCTCAGCAAATGCACCAAATGACCTTACACTTCTGCGTTACAGCCATTTAATTCCCCTTGAACTGGTCATCTCCACTACAGTTCACTAAACTACTTTTGTTGCTGTAATTGTAGATAAACACACACACACACATACACATACACACACACACACACACCCCCACACACACAACTTGCAACTATGTTCTTACACTAGGCAAAATAATGATGAAATGTGTAATAATTTTCAATGTTCCGTTACCTGTGCTTGCAGAGATGAAGAATCCAGCGTATTGAATACAAATGGCAGAACTTCTCCCTTGGTTTCATCCAAAGGGGATTTTGTTAGAATGATATCCAGTTTGTTTAATATATACACAGTGGCCTGAGAATAGTCAACAAGAACAGATTTTCATAATATAACATACTGGTTTAAGAAGGTTGCAGAAGGATCATTATTTAAGTGATCACTGTGACATGCCAATCGATAATCAAATGATGTCACTGTTTACAGCATCACTGAACAAACAATGCTGTTTACACAAACATCGCTCTTGACGTCAAAATAATTACTGAAACAAAAAATGACTAGATATTCTTGTTCTGCATTTATGGTTTTATGTTGAGTTCCTGGCACATCTGCTAGATTTTGATATGTGCTTCATCTGTGATGGCTGATTCGGTTTTAGATAAATCGTTTGCTAAGACAAGTTCTGCTCAGTTACTGTAGCTCTCTGTACTAGAGCTCTGTATACAGTAATGGTCATCATTATCCTCAGTTTCCACTGTTGACGTTAAGTAACATGGGGAGGAACAGTGTGCGATCCATTGCTTCATTTACAGCAATTATTATTGTCATCCCGTGTCGATACAGCTCTTTAATGTCATCAATACCTGTTCTCCAAGGGTGGCCTTTTGCTTTTAGATCAGATCTGTTGATGACTAGCGCCTGTGTTGGTTTGACTGGCGCCTGTGTTGGTTTGACTAGCGCCTGTGTTGGTTTGACTAGCGCCTGTGTTGGTTTGACTAGCGCCTGTGTTGGTTTGACTAGCGCCTGTGTTGGTTTGACTAGCGCCTGTGTTGGTTTGACTAGCGCCTGTGTTGGTTTGACTAGCGCCTGTGTTGGTTTGACTAGCGCCTGTGTTGGTTTGACTAGCGCCTGTGTTGGTTTGACTAGCGCCTGTGTTGGTTTGACTAGCGCCTGTGTTGGTTTGACTAGCGCCTGTGTTGGTAGTTATGCTGGTTGCCTAGTGATGGCAATGAGAGACATCCTCATAAATACACATGCCAGGAGACCGAGAGCGGAGTTTCTTGCCTTCCGGCAATAATAATAATAATCATTTTACATTTCTGCTGGGGCCACACTTTTGTTCATGTTAACCATATGTTCTTCTTAAGCGAATTCGTGTTAATAAGTTCTCATCTAATTCAGGTAATCGCTAGACCGTCTGATCTGCTGATTTGTAATTTATCTGACACTAGTTCGGTCTCTGTTTTTTTGTCAGATATTTAGTTGTTTTTCTGTTCTGTTGCCTTCAGAATTATGTAGTATTATTTTTATTTGCAGTTTTTTTCACCAGTTTCTGCTTGTGTCAAATTATGACACTGATAGCATTATGTTGGCATGATAGTGTACGGAACAGTTGCCTGTTTGTCTCAGTTGTTATGCGTCTGTTATGTAGTATTGCTGACATCTGTCCCAGGAGGCGCTATCTTTAAATGCCATTGTGCTAGATTATTCCTGCTGCCAGGGTTCATTGGTCGAAATTATATTTTTGCATCACTTGAACTATTATTTTCTTCTAAGTTAGTGATATAGACATCTTTAGTTTTTATTCTATTATTTAACCCCCCCCCCCCCCCCGAGTCGATGCCGGTGTTTCCAACACAACATTTTGTGTTCATCACCCAACCAACCAATGGTTATACCAAATAACAGGGGAGATAAAAATGCGCTCCAATTACAATTTGGGGGATAGAAAGTCAGAAGAAGAAGACAATTTTAGACCAATCACTTTAAACAGTACACACTCTGAAACTGTATGCATTGCCTTAAAAAAAAAATTTTTTTTAATTAGTTTACCAAAACATTTTTAAAATAGTGATGTGTAAGCTGTCAAAAACCTTCCTAAAGTAGATAAAATACAAATCATATGCTTGCTGTTTTTACATAAATTGCTGGGGGGAAAAAAGCATTGGGTTTATACATGATCTAAGCAGCTTCTTGCTGGTGTAAAACCTGCTTGTTACTCTAACAGGATTTTAGCTACTACCCATTTAATTTTACTGAAAATTCTATTACAAAAATCGTCCACACAGCTAAGAGAGTAATTCCTCTCCAGTTATTACAGTCATTAAGATTGCACTTCTTTTGAATAGTAATAATGATTCAATTTTTCACTAACTTGGAACTTTTTCTTTGTCTATATTCTATTAAACAAATACATAACGTTTAATGGCTTTATGGTTACATTATTCGCAGATTGTGGAGAGGAATGATCGCCCACGCCACATGATGATGATGATGATGATGGTTAGATCTTTTGCTGCCTTGATTATTTCTGCAGTAATATCATCATCACCTGCCACCTGATTGTTTGCTAATGAAATGGTTGCCTCCCTGAATTCCATGTCTTTTATCTGTCCTACTTTTATTGGTCCATTCAGCCAATTCATCAAACAAAATTCATTGGTTCTTGTTGACAAGTCATTTAATGTTTCTTAGAGGTGTTCTGTCCATCACTGCTTCTGCTCAGGTTCATATGTAAGCATTGCACCATTCTTACTTTTATTGGGACCACCCGCACGGCTCTCTAGTACAGTTGGCTAAACCTGACTGCGAGGCGACCGGCTGACGAACTCCTTGTGGTCAGGGTTTCCACCCTGGGGTAGGCAGAAAAGCCACATTTCTGCCAGATTTACGGTATCTATCATAGAACCAAGGCCGAAGGGTTGTCATTTCCATAGTACCGAGCCTAAGGGTTTCCTGTTTTCTGGATACTTAAAAAAAAAAAATAAAAAAAAAAACCACCCTGCAGTTTGAAACTGCAACCACTGAGTCTTGTTTAAAAACTGTATTTACTTGATGCTGCGGTTGGTCATCAAAGTGATCTTTCTGCTCGGGCTTAGCATCATTAGTTGGGACATAACGTTGAATGGTGGTCATTTATTATGTCTTGTACTAAAACTAGCTCTATTTTCTCTGCTCGATATATGCTCCCATTCTAGCAACATTTTGCAACTTTTGGTGTCATTAAAATGCATACTCCTTCCTTGTGTTGTTTATCCTCTGTGTTTGAATATAAAGCTTAAGAACTAACAACTCTTGTATCTGCTGCTAGCTCCCTCACTTCATTTAACCTTAAATTATATAATTGGTGTCCCTTCATCTCGTCTCCCACCTGACAGGGCTGTGTTGTGTTTGAAGATGCTCAGAATCAAATCAACTAGAGTAACAATGACAAGTCACAGGTGTGAAGGCTTTTTACCTGGACAGGCTTAGTGTTGGCAAGAATAGCACGGAACTCTGCCATGATGATATCAACGTAGTCAGCTCTAGTGGCATAATCAATGATTGTGATCAGTGTAGGTAAGGCAAAAATTATTGAGTCTGCACATTTGCATTCAATCAGTATTTCTGGTAGCACGTAGCCATACAGGATTTTCTGGTCAGGAAACAAAAACATAGTGTTAACATAATGTCGGTGGTACCTAGGCAAATGTGGGCTTATAAAACTAATACTAAGAAGAAGAAAAAGGAATTAACAGCGGGAGCATACCCAGCAGGAATCTACAGATCTTCAGTAGGTGTCCCCAGTCATCGATTGTTTCGTCTCCCCTACCCTTCTAAACAATCTCGGTGGTGGTGGAAAAAGGGGGGGGGGGGGGCCTTAGTCATGACTCCCAGACCTCGGACTTCTACAGCGCTTATCGGACATTCAGACAAGACCTTATAGTGATTTGCAACAGGTACTGAGGTTGTGGCGTTAAATATATCGTCGCTGCTATGGCAAATAAGGTTCCTACCTGCACGACCATAGTAACAAATGGACGGTTGGTTTTTTAGACAGACGTTGATCGGACAGACTTTGGCAGTTGGCAACAGCACAGGCAGACGTTGATCAGACAACTTAAGCATTAGGGATTTAACATTTCTTTTTCACTAGGGGGTGGGATTAATCTAATGAGGCCTATCCTCCCACGACGTTCTGTTGCGTCCACAACCAGCTCGAAGCTTCTATAGCAGCTTCGCCCAGTTGTTTTAGTGCCCGTTTAGGCTCGTTTCCTCGGAAGCTCAGCTGCTTCAGTACATTGTATGTGGAAGTGGAGATTATCCCTCCTGCACTACCTAACAGTGAAGAGTTAGCGTACCTTCATAGCTCAACAGACTGGCCACCAGATCGCTGAATTTCTCGAGCTAATACAGGTGAATTCTTCGATCTGCCACTCGTACGGCACTCTGAGCTCTATCAGTATGAGCTGGCGTTCTGCCGCAGACAGGTCAACCGCCAATTGCCAGTCACTTGTACATCCATCCAGGGGAGGAATTGATACCAGCGTCTAAAGCGCCCAATCTCACATTCTCATGTGTCGTGATGCTTGATAGGAATTGTCGGGAGCAGAATCCAGCTGCTGCCAATGCCGAGGCATGCGCGCTTATCAGTGACAATTCGAGTAAGACAGCTATGGTGATCATCCCAGAGGGGTCAGTTATACAAGGACATAAGAGTACATAGACATTTACAGCTCGCTCTTTAGGCAGAACAGTTCAGGAAGCTAACGGTGCCTTCTCTATGACCACCAGCAGCATGATGAGATGGAGGTGATAGCCTTGACACAGGCTTTCAGGTTGCTCTGATCACAGTGTGTGCGCTTATTCTTTGAGCATGATCCGGCGGGTCGAGGCAGGCTGGTTACGCAGACAGTGGTTTTAGTCGCTGCAAAACTTTCCTGTGTGTGCAGTTACCTTCATATTCGTTCCAGGGCATGCAGGCGTTGTTGGTAATGAGAGAGCTGATAGACTGGCAGGACCTGCATTATTTGAAGATGGCCGGCCCATGGATCACGCAGACATTGGCATTGTCCTTAGATAGATAGGACGTTCTAAGGATTTTGGAAGCAACGTGTCCACATCACTGCTAAGAAGTGGGAGTAAAGATCCGTAAGGCCAAGTATTAAAAGTACACTGGACACACACGAAGTCTTGTTAACCAACATAGGACTGGTACTGTTAACCGCATAACACTGATGAATATGTTGAGAGGGGCATCTGTGCGCCTATGGATGTGTCTGAAGTGCTGTGAAGATAACTCAGTCACCCGTACAGTCAAGTATGGATGGTACGCATGCAACTTTGTTCAATGTACCTTTCGAAATCTACCCTGCCTTGAGGAAGCGCATGGGAGAAACGTTAAGATTAGCCCTCACGCTGGCTCTCATCCAGTTTTTGTCCACAATGTCAGCCAACTCTTTCAGGACCTTATTGTGACGCCATGTGCATCGTACATGACCTAGGGCTTTCCTGCAGTGAAGCCATTTGCCAAATCTCACTCTATTTGAATTCTCGTGGCAAGGCACTCTCGAGGCCGATTCATTGGCCTTGTTGCAAATACTGGGCTGCTTACATAGCCCGTAGATCGTTCATGTAGTCTCTGATATGTTGTGTCACCATGTCTCTACGCTCTCTGGTAGAGGCTTTTGACCACCACTTGACCCTCCCTTGCCTTAAGCTCCGTCGGTCGGTTTGCATGTAACTTATGACCTCTCTCAATTGTGCATTCTAGGCAGATTCTATCGCTCAGTTTACCTTCCAGTTCGTCCTGTATTTAGAGTGGGCTAGACAGGGTCTACTAAGGGGTCCGACCTTACTGACTTTAAACTCTTAAAATATCGACTGAATGGATGTACCAGCTTTGCCTGTTTACAACAAAAAGCCATGTCGGACAAACAGAGCGGCGCTCGGAGCCATTTTCTCATGGCAACGTTTATTATCCGCTCTACTGCTTCTACTTTGCTCGTGCTTTCATCTTGTAGGTGAGGCTAGGGGATCTTTGGAGTCAACTTTGATTAGAGACACAAGACCTTGAACTTCAAGCTCAGTTTGCTTTTGCTTGTTAGCTAGCAGGCTGTTGCCAGGGACTTGTGTATAAGCCGGACTTCCTTTTTGTCTGATAGCTTCGAATCGTTAACGCGGCCGAGACTCTTGACTGGTTCCTCCAGAACCGTGGGGATCGTTTTGTTTGCCACTGTGAATCTTGTTGCCACCACCTTACCTCTACTGACTGAAAGACTTCTGGATTCATAAAGCCTGTATTGCATGTTTCACCCTTCGACCAGCCTCTTTAAAATAACTCATTCATCATCATCCTCAAGAGCCGTTATTAAAGTCATATCACATATAAATGCTGTAAGTGGTGGCATCCAGTAATCCCAAGTTTGAAGGCCTCGCCGTAGCGACAGCCTCATCTAACATGACCTGTATGGCCATAACGAACAGCACTTGAGAAATCATACATATCGTTGCATCCCCATCTTGAGTTTAATCCATCTGTAGTAAACGCAGGTGTAGAGAAGAGAGAAGAATATGGCGAACTTGGAAAATTACTGCTCGTTCATAGCAATGATCTCTGTCGGTACATGAAACATGCGAAGAGCCTTCAATGATAGCTTATAGCTTACCCACCATAGGCGTTGGAGAGGTCCAACCAGATCACGTGTTTTCTCTACTACAGCTCTCTGGATACTCTCCCAAATCATGGATGCATGTTCAAGACGCCCTGGATGCCACCTTTCTGCATCGATGTTTCTATGTACTTGTTCTGCATCAAGTACTGCATCAAGTACTGCATCAAGTACTGCATCACGTATTGCATCAAGTACTGCGTGAGTCTGCGTGCTATAACCGAGAAGAATATTTTGCCTTCAGCGTTCAACAGCGAGATAGGTCTGAATTGGAATAGATCAGAGGAGTATTGCTCCTTGAGAATGTAGACTCCGTCGGCTTCTGCCACTTCCTACGTGTGTACTTTCGGCTGCACGCCAGCCTTAGCAAGCGTTGAACTTTCGGGGGACTTTTGAACAGCGATTTACATGACACCGTTGGATCCTAGGGCAGATTTGCCACTGGCTCACAACTTCTTCGACCTCAGACCAGGAGGGAGCCATCGTTCGGCAACTACGACCACTTCAGGCCACTGAGAAACTCTTGCCTGCAATCGAGAGATTAATTTCTTGTTCTGTCGAAATATAGTCTAAGTAGGTGTGACTTTAATTCCTTTTTAGCAACAACAACAGTCCCAGATGTCGGTTGCTCGAACAGGCGTCGAAAAAAATAGAACGGGTCCCTAAAGAACTTGTCGGTTCTTCTTCTGCTCTCATAGAAACGTTTAGCGCGACACAGCATTTTGTCCAGTATTCCGGTGCAGCCAGACCTCGTTTAGTAGAGGTTTTAAACCGTTTTATCTTCGTCTCTCTGATTCCTTATTTTCTTATGCATGACGTCTAGCTTCGTCTTCTCCACAGTCCTGATCCCGCGGGCACATTGAGCGTAAATTATGTCACCAAACTGTGTGTGTCCTCTAGAGATGATTTCTATCATCCACTATCAGAAAGCTCACATAAATCACCCTCTTGCTTGCATCAGACACCCTGTCATTTGTGGGTAGAAATCTCATCTTTGTCAGAGAATTCCAGAGAAATTTGACTCAAAAGCTCAACAAAATGGGGAAGCAGAAAAACGTGCACAAAACAACACAAATAACGTAACGTTTCGACCGAAAAGCCTTTGTCAAACTACATAAAAATAACAACGAGGAGAGGAGAGTAAACAGATCTCTAAGGGATGACGTGAGCAACGTTTTTTTAAAAAAATGTGATGTGGAATAAATGACATAAAATAAAATAAACGATGGCTAAATAAATATACTCACGAAAAATAAAAAGTAATATTTCTAATATATAATATAATAGTGCGAATAAAAGAAATACAAATGTTAATGATACACTAATGATATTAATAAGAGATAGAATGAAGAAATAATATGAAACAAAAGAAAAGAAAAGAATTAAAATTAAAAATGTGAAAAGAGTAAAACTGTTTAGATGAAGGTTTGTTGGATATTAGTACCACTTGGACTAAGAACGCTAAGGTTGTGGATGAGGCGATTTTCCACAGCGAGGCGAGTAGTATGATTGCCAGAACAAGATTTTAATGCTGTGACAGATATATCATCTTTACCTCTGTGGTCAAAGCTGTTAAAAGGGAGAGGAATTGGTTTAAGTGTCTTCTTGTCAATATCTGAGAGGTGTTCCCGGAAACGATCAGCTAGCTTCCTGCTAGTTTCCCCAATGTACGCCTTGCTGCATCGTTTGCAGATTTATATGTAATGCATGGCCAACTTCTTTTATAAATTCAGCGGCAATTCCATAAGCACCAGTTGCTCTATTGTTGTTAAGTAAGCCGTGTTAAGACATACAGTACTTCTTCAAAGTCAGGTCCTTCAGTATTTGGTTCACATGTTAATATCTCTTCATGTAGATAAATACTAAGTGGAATTTTACAGTTTACAATTCAGCAAAGAATTCATTCTATCTGTTACATATTTCCTCATTATTATTTATCATGTTCCTATTGTGATATTTTAAAGAATAAGTGCTTTGTTGATGCTGCCCTGCCCTCATTTCACAGCCTTCAGGTCTTAAAAAAAAACTTTCTGGATTCGTTATTCTGATGGTTAACTTCCATAATCATTACAATGTTGTTCATGTAATCTTGCTTCTGGTGCCTAACTACTTTTGTAGCTTTTTTACATTCTGTTATATGCTATATTTTTTGTTTATTTCGTATATTACTAGTATCATTGAACCAAATCTGTCCGTCATGTTTTTCTTACTGACTGCTTTTTCACATTTTGTATCGAACAATTTGTTCTTTCTGTTCATGGTGGGCACACCAAAACATTTTTCTGCAGTGTTTTTAATTACATTCTTAATATCCATTCAGGTTTGGTGAACGTCTTCCTCTGACGGAATTAGTTAAGTTTCAGTTTTATGTTTTAATTCATCTGCAGATTTCTCTTATATGGATATTTCATGAAGTCTTTCTCCGTTGTATTCTGGATGTGATCTTTGTAATTTGGTGTGGAAGGATCTGTTTAACTTGAATTTTAATTTTGCACCAACAAGGTAGTGGTCACTATGACACTCAGCTCCTTGTAGCTTCTAGCTTTTTATATGTTCGATGCATTTCAATCATTTATTAAAATAGTATCTTTTCGATTATACGTTATCTTCTTACTTGATTACCAGGTTTGTTTTTGTATATCTTTTCTTTGTAATCTGGTGCTGCATATCTGTAGTCTTTTTGCTACTGCATGGTTGATTAATCTCCATCCATTATCGTCTTAATTCCAATGTAGGCCTTCCGTGCCTGCTAAATTTTTATAGGAGTTTTCTCTTCTTGTTTTTGCATTGAAATCTTCTAAGATAATCAATACGTCTCGTTTTTTTAGCTTCATCTATTATATTCTTAAGGAGATCATATAATTCTTCTTTAATATCATCTTCTTTATCTTTACTGGGTGCTTGCACATTATTCATCGTGATATTTTCGTTTTCTATTTATGTGTAACTTACAGATCCTATCACTAACAGCTTCAAAATTTATTATAATTTCCCACAACTTTTTCTTCAAAACAAATCCTGTCCCTAGTTTATGTTTGTTTTTAGTGTTTCCTCCATACCCTATAATCGTTCCCTTTTCCCTTATGGTACCCTGCCCTGGCCATATCATTTCTGGAATTGCTGTTATATCCATTCTGTATTTTGATAACTCACGGGTCGGTTCTTTAGCTGCTCCAGCTCTATTAAGGGTTCGTACATTCCATGTTCTAAATCTCAAAAGTCCTTGAACGTTCCAGGTTCATTGTCCGTTTTATATCCATTTGAAATTGACGCTTAGATATATTTTTATTTACTCAAACCGACCGTCGAGGCCTAGGGCACGGGAAGGTCAATTGGTGGTCAAAGGCCTCAGCCAAAGAGCGCCGAGACATGGTAATACAAACGGTGAGGGACAACGAAAACGAGGTTCGGGTCCAGAAAGCAGCCCAGCAGTCGCAGCAGGGCCATTGGGTCAGCCTGGAGAGCGCATTGCCAAGAGTACTCACATGGGGTGAGATCTGGCGGATGACCCCGCTGCGAATGAGCTTTATCGTTCGTTCGGCGTACGATGTATTACCGTCCGGTGTTAACATGGTTAAATGGTCTGCGACCAACGATCCGACTTGCCCGTTGTGCAAATCGAAGCAAACTCTTGAGCACGTCCTGTCAGCGTGCAGGAAAGCCCTAGGTCAAGGCCGTTATACCTGGCGACACAACAAGGTGCTAAAAGAGTTAGAGCCGTTGTCGACCAGGCTAGAATGAGGGCTAACGCCAGAGCCAGTTCTAGCATCGTCCCCATTCGTTTCCTCAAGGCTGGGCAGGTTCCCAAAGGTAAGGTCAACCAAAACGCATTCGCTCCATCTGTGCTAGACTCTGCGATGGACTGGTTACTGGCGGTTGATCTGCCAGGCCATGAACGGTACCCCGAGTTGATCCGTAAAACCGGCCTGCGACCGGACATCGTTCTCCATTCTGCGCAAAAACGGCAGCTCATTCTGATTGAGTTGACTGTCCCGTTTGAATCGCGTATGGAGGAGAATCATTTGTACAAGCTCGAGAAGTACAGTGATTTAGCAGCCGGTTTGAGGAGAAACGAAGCTTACACGGTACGGGTATTTGCCGTCGAAGTGGGAGCGAGAGGCCTCGTTTCCACTTCGCTGTACAATGTGGTGAAAGAACTAGGATTGCGCGGTAATGAACGGAAACGAACACTCAAAAAACTGGGAGAGGTAGCCGAAAAGGCCTCTAGCTGGCTTTGGACGCAGCGCAACAACGTAGGGGACGGGCCTCGGTGAGCTGGTCCGGGTGTCTAGTGGAAAAGAGTTTCTCATCCCTTTGAAAGTCCATTGTGTCCGAATTGTCTGCCAGTGTTCCTCTGCCAACTGCTAATAAAAGTCCAACATGTGTCCGGTAAACCAAAGTAAGCTTGTCGCTCGGTCGTCCAGGCATGCCAACTGCTTTAATTAGGCTGCCGCGGCGGCTTCTTATCTCACAGTACCTTCTGCGAAACCACCAAGTCGTCTTGTCTCTGGCCGAAAGTAAAACACCATCCGGTAATCCCGTGCAGCAGGGAGCCAGCCCTGAGCTTCATGAACTCAGGAGGGCCCACCTCCGAATGCGTCTAGGAATCGTGGGCCGAAACGCGTGTCGACGAGGATAATTTCTACTGATGACTGGTAGATCCCTGCTGTACTTGCTCCCTGTGAGTTTATTCCTATTCGTGTCTTACGAAGGTGAAGGTGTTAGCCCCAAACTTAAATCCCCCAACCTAGCGGACCAGCGTGTCTCTCTTTGTCTGTTCACTGCCTTTAAACTCTCCGGCTTGGGAGACTCAGCTGGTAGCTATGCTATCGCAGGCATAGCTCTCCCCCCCCCCCCAAAAGGGGGGGGGGGGGATTATACGTTTTCTAACTTTAATATCTTTGCGGCACTCAATCTGCGGATCGCGACCTTTGTGTGAGTGGGGTCGAACGACTTTTGCACTGGGGTCACCTAAGACTATCGGAAAACCTCATATTTAATGACGTTATGAAATGGTAATAAAAATAATGGTTTGTCTGTGGGTAGCCACAGCTAAAGGATCGTGGCGTAGTGAAAGTCGAGAGCCACTGTCCGAAATGCTTTTCATCAACTGGCATGGGATTTTACCTGAAAACAGAGGAGTCAGTTCTCTGTATTTCTTTGCCAGGTACATGCTCAAACCAATTTCTCTTGCTCTCTGCGCGCATTAGATACAAACATCACAGCTCAACAAAGGCTTCAACATAAACTTTTTCAAAATGTCTCCTTGATAACCATCGGAAGCAGTAGGAATTTAGTAAATATATTTAAAACATATTTCCTTTAAGATTTAGGATTTCAACATCATCATTATCAAGTGTTACCTATGAGGTCCATTGATATATCTGCTATGCATTTTTACTGTACAATTACACATTTGTCTTTCAGCCTATCTCTTAAAGCTGTCAGCCTATCTATATGACACGTTGTTGCCCTGTTGCAAAATATTTATATGGCGTGTTTTTCCCCAGTGCATGTTCTAACAATGAGCCATGTGTATGTATTTGAAAATGAGTTTGAACTCACTTTGGAGTGGTTCTCTTAAATACAAGATTTTCTAACATGATTGGTTTTGCTTTCATACCACGTTTTTATACCATGTTTTCATAGATATTTTTCCCGGGTTATGCTGGCGTGTTTGGGAACGAGAAGGCAGATATGATGTCTGGACTGACACCACTTGGGGGGTACTGCAACTGCACAAGACAGAAGATATATCTTGCCTGCGAGACGAAATGACAATAAAAATGGAAACTAGCGTACTCCCGTACCTGGAGAAACAAGGCAACGGGGAGTGACTCTCTGCTCTGAGCGCCACTGGAGACTCAGTGAAAGGGCAAGGCCAGTAGTGAACCAGATGACAGCGGACACCACCAACATGGAGACTCTTCTTTGGAAGTTCAGGAAGGGGAAGGAGCTAATATAGGTTTGTCCTGAAAGATTCGGTATTGAAACTCTACTCAGATAATCATGCAAAGGCATTCTGCCGGTGTTCCTAAATAGCCGTACTTGAAAAGTTTCACAATTATAGAGGTGGTTATATATATACATTTAGTTCGAACATTGAAACGTTGCCATTGCCTGCCATGTTACCAATTACTATATTTAGGTTACTGAAGTAGGAGTAGTCTGTGATAACAGGGCATTCGTGGAGATTACCGAAAACTATCGCTCTGTCTGTGGTCTTGAGAAGATGACAACACGAAGACATTACAGTGACATGTTTCTTGAGGTCTACGAGCTAAAGGAAGCAGACATTAGAGATGTCATTGTCTCACCCTAGGTATGTTTGGCACCACTTGGGAAAGACTTGCATATGCTTCAACTCGTTGAGCTGGGTCACGACGGTCGTGCATATCCATGCCATGAAGACTTATCACAACCGGATCATTAAAATATTTCAACTAGAGTAAAGGAGCATAAAAACACGTCAATTAGTTCATCAATAACACATCACATAATGTTCCTACTGCATAATCTTACATTTGTCACTTAGCATATTGTTTTCTACGGTTGTGCTAACTGGTAATTATATACGCTGAATTATTTCTATTATTACTTGCCAGTGTCATTATTTTAAATATACACATATTTAAAATATCTACACTGGCAAGCACCACAGTTTATATTTAGTCAGAAATAATTTACAATAACAGTAACAACTGAGCATTTGATATTTTCATAACACATACACACACTCACAAACGCAACCCCACACATTCTCATCCATAAGTCATGATTGCCTGACTGACTGACTTTCTACCCCACCAGGACTTCACACAAGCGATAAACACCCGATGACACAAAGTGCCACCATGCGGATGAGGATCACCGTGGAGAGGTCCCAGAAACCGCGTTTAGACATTTGGCCATAATGATGACCTGCCTATATTGCGGCCCCTGGCAAAAGCCAGAGTGGGGCTTCAAATAACAAAAAATAACGTGCTAAGTAAGTCATGATTCATTCACTGGCTAGTATGAAGAGCTGTCAAGAGACACACTCTTACAGACCAAGCTGTCTAGTTCTACTCTAGTATACTCAAACACCAACAGGGCAAGTCCCAAATATCACTCCATATCCCCTAAAATGATACAATGAGGGTAACTATTGGGTACATCAAATACCTACCTTGTGTACCCTATTTCCTAGGCCTAATTACGAATATATTTATATACAGCGAAAGCCACTGAGTGACATTAAAAAAACACGTAGCAGAACATTTATCGGACAACTCATGCACATCGACAGTGGAATAATGAGAAGATTTGTTTCCATTGTTTTATTTTTTTCAGCTGAAGGTATGCCAATATACTTCTCGCACAGTTAGATATAAAATAGGATGACTTTGGTGTCACAAGTGATACGGCAGATCATGATTTTAAATAGAAATTCACTTTAGCAGTTCAACTGGATGTTCCATAGGAAAGGTCTCACTTGCAATGGAAAATCAGGTGCCAAGGCGACTGGGTGAGACTATGCTCACCAGAAATACCAAAAGGACACTTATATTGATGGTTCTTTGACATGAATACATCGAGGACAGAACATAGACGTCAGCATCGATGATGATGTTCTTGTTAAAGTAATCACTTGTATTATGTGTGTGTTTATAAACAAATACTTCCTAGAGGAAGATACGATACACGATTTGCTGGCAGACAATCAACTCACCAAAGAAAATAATTGAGCAGTTGGGCGATAACGAACATCTTTGTTGATCATTTTTTCAACAGGTTCCACCAATTGTAGAGGCATTCTGTGAGCTACCAGTCCAAATGTATCGTGCATCTGCATAGAGTTCACATTTGGCAAGACCATATTATTAGATTCATACGTTTTACATCCAATGTTTGTATACATTTTTATCATGAATGCTTTAACGTGTTTACGCGTTTTATTGTTTGGCTATTTTGAAAGCTGCTTAAAATCTATGCTTTTCTTACCAAATTCATCAGTGTCATAAAATCCTTCTACAATGAAACACGCTGAATGGTAAGAACAGAATCCGGCAACTCTGAATGGTTCCCACTGGGACCAGGAGTGAAACAAGGCTCTGTCCTATCACCATTGCTCTTTGAAATAGCAGTCGATTGGGTCATGCACAAATGCACCAATATTACAAATATGGGTATCAAGTGGGTTGACATAATTCTAGAAGACCGTGACTTTCCTGAAGACATGGTGCTTTTGAGTTTAACGCCCCCAAATATCCGAGAGGAAACAGTCTCCAAAATGTTTCAGTACAAATCAGACTTCAAATTTGCACGGCAAAAACAAAAATGTTTGATCTTACCAGTAATTCAGACGACATCAAACTAAACGATCACATTCTTCAAAAAATCAACAGCATTACATACCCAGGAAGTAAAATGACAACTACAGACTCAGCGCCAAAAATAACATCTAGAATCGCACTGGCATCTAGTGCCTTTAACAAACTGTCAAACATCTGGAAGTCAAAGACACTCAGCAAACACATAAAACTTCAACTGTTGTGTGATTCTAGTGCTAACTCCTCGATGCGAGAGTTGGAAAGCAAAGATAGCAATAGATAAAAGTTACACAGTTCTGACAAATGTCTTAGAAGATTATTAAATCTTCACTGGACAGATTTCAGATCCAATACACAAATAAGACAATAGACCAAGCAAGAAAATGTCTCCAGTTGTATAAGAAAGCGCCACGGGAGCTACATCGGCCATGCACTCAGAATGGATAAGACAAGACTTCTCAATCAATCCAATATTTGGACACCAGAAGGGAAAAGACAAGACGCCCCCATCAAGCCCTCTTATGGACACCAGAAGGGAAAAGACAAGACGCCCCCATCAAGCCCTCTTATGGACATCAGAAGGGAAAAGACAAGACTCCCCTATCAAGCCCTCATATGGACATCAGAAGGAAAAAGACAAGACTTTCCCATCAAGCCCTCTTATGGACACCAGAAGGGAAAAGACAAGACTCCCCCATCAAGCCCTCTTATGGACATCAGAAAGGAAAAGACAAGACGCCCCCATCAAGCCCTCTTATGGACACCAGAATTAAAAAGACAAGACTTTCCCATCAAGCCCTCTTATGGACATCAGGAGGGAAAAGACAAGACTTCCCCATCAAGCCCTCTTATGGACACCAGAAGGGAAAAGACAAGACGCCCCCATCAAGCCCTCTTATGGACACCTGAAGGGAAAAGACAAGACTTCCCCATCAAGCCCTCTTATGGACACCAGAAGGGAAAAGACCAGACTTCCCCATCAAGCCCTCTTATGGACATCAGAAGGGAAAAGAAAACGATGAAGACCAAGAAAGACTCTACGTAGAACCATCATCGGGGAAGGTTCAGTCATGCGTCTAACAACTAAACCAGGTGGCAACGAACCACCAGACATGGAGAATTATGCCCTACGTGTCGCCATAGACCCAAGAGGAAAGACTTACTAATATTGGAAAGAATCTTAAAAGCATATAAATGCAACATTTATTTACGTATGTGTTTATTTGTGTGTGTGTGTGTGTGTGTGTGTGTGTGTGTGTGCGCGTGCGTGTGAGTATTAGTGTGTTTGGGTATAAGCGTGCTAGTGTTTATGTATGTCTATAATTGTGTGTATTAATAATGAAGTTCACACAACCATCGTGTTGAGACAATACTGAAAGCAAGGTGCAGCCTCTCATAAATATGAAAAACACAAGAATGTGCTCATGTTAGTCCTACACTTGACAGGACGTCGCAATGGTCGAGATTTGCTGCATACTATACTTAAGAAACCTCATCAGAATGGGGCTTTGTACATACAATAAGTAGAACTATTTTAGTATGAGATCCACCACTGGCATGCCAGGAGTTGTCATCGGTGGTCATACCATAAACAACCGAACTCATGCTAGTAACACCATCTTGACAGCGACTAGTCAACAAGATTTACAGGGACTTATGGGCGACTAGTCAACAGGATTTACAGGGACTTATGGGCGACTAGTCAACAAGATTTACAGGGACTTATGGGCGACTAGTCAACAAGATTTACAGGGACTTATGGGCGACTAGTCAACAAGATTTACAGGGACTTATGGGCGACTAGTCAACAAGATTTACAGGGACTTATAGGCGACTAGTCAACAAGATTTACAGGGACTTATGGGCGACTAGTCAACAAGATTTACAGGGACTTATGGGCGACTAGTCAACAAGATTTACAGGGACTTATGGGCGACTAGTCAACAAGATTTACAGGGACTTATGGGCGACTAGTCAACAGGATTTACAGGGACTTATGGGCGACTAGTCAACAGGATTTACAAAGATTTATCGATACTGTAGTATTAGAAAAGTCGGCTCTGTGGCTAAGTCGATGTGAACGCTTCGTAATGCCGGGATGCCGGGTTCGATCCCAGCTGCGGGCCATGAGCCTTGCGTTGGTTTTAACAGTGGTATCAAGAAAGCCGACCGTCCAATAGCAATGGCAAACTACTGGACGTAAATTTGCCTAGAAAAACCACACAAAAGCCACGGGCTGTTAGGTTTGGTTCTGCAACGACCTGTAAAAGATACGCAACTAACCTAGTTTATTAGAAAATGACAGAATGGGCATTCTTTTAAAAAAAGGCGAGGGCTTGAAGTCATCTTGTCAAAAACATTAGAAAAAGACAGTCACCGTTTTGTGTGTGGGTCAGGCTATGAGCAGAAGGCAGGTGGAACATGTACCACTGGGAAAATCTGTTGAAAATAAGATAGAAAGGAAGACAACATGAGATTTTTTTTTTACAGCGCTTTGTCATAGCACGGAGCGTCGTCAGTATACCAACTGATACATGCTGTTGAAATTAACAAAGTGTGGAGGGGAACAATCGCTGACACCGATCGGAAAAGCACTTAATGATGATGATCTTACCCTTGTTAGGCTTAGTAGCTCAGATGTATGGTGGCGTGAATTAAAGTTTAAATATTGACTGTCTAATTTCAAGGTAGTTGCAGGACGATTTTAGGTCAGTGTAGCAGTCAATCAGCACAGGTCACTGTAAATTAGTCGGGGCCATAAGCACGGTTATTGAGGACATTCTAAAAATAGCAAAAACCTTATAATTTCTGTTTCAATTCTGGGGTTCAGTATTGTATGTGCAGACAGGACACACTGAGAAGTACCCAGGATTGTGTGTTAGTATTAAAGCCGACGACAGTTTGCATACCCTTGTCTTTTACACATTTATCAACTATGGATGCTTGGGTTTTTGCATAAACAACGCGTTGTCGCTAATATGTAAACATGACTGACAATATATTCAAGCGTACAATTCACAAACCTGATCTAGCTGCTTCACGTAGAAACTGGGGTTGTGATCTGCGCAGATCAGCGACCGTCCTTCATTGTAGATGGAACATATCACCATCCCTACAGAGAACATGTCACTCAGAGGTGTGCACATTTTATTCAGCTGAACTTCTGGAGCCATGAAGTTGAGGTCTGGTTGTGCCATTTTGGGGATTTTAGTGGTCCATGACTGACCAGTGCAGCCCTCCTGAGAAAGTAAGGTGTGAACAGTTATCTCACGTGTAGCTGCACAGATATTCACTGATAACTGTTATTTGAAAATCTCAGTTACAAATAATATGTAAAGTACTGTCACAAACCTCTGGTATGACCTTGCCGGTCCGTGGCTCGTTAACTAGGCCTATGACAGACAGACTAACCTACAACACACACTGAACCCGAACGCACACAGAGCACACACGACAATCTTTATTGGAAGTACAGGTAATACGTAGACAGTTGACTTCCCGCCGTGTGGCCACCTATTGCCTGGACCCTCTGGCTGAACGGGCTTTACAATCGCCCCGTCCCCAGTACGTGCGACAGGCAATATTCTGGTGTACAAACCACAACCCGGCAGGATACGCTCTCTTCTATCGCCACGCTGACCCAATCAAACTGTCACAGTCTCTGTCTTAGTGCAGGGTCAGAGTGTCCAGGTTAGCCACTCTCTCACAGCACATTGACATAAATACTCTACACAAGAACTATCCTATCCTAACACAAAACTGTACATAAACTATCCAGTCACTAACAGATATATCCTAACTCTAATACTATAACATAAACTATCCTGTCACTAACAGATATATCCTAACTCTAATACTGTAACACAACTGTCTTGCTAAACGTCCTCTCTTCCTGACCGACGCACACCGAATGTCCCTTCTTCCTTCTACCTCGTGTCTCTTAACCCCGTTCACCAGCTCAGTCCCAAAAGCAGTCATCGTGTTACTAAAACACAGTTTAGTCTTTCTTGCTTTATCCTGAGCGCTGGTTTCGCCGTGCGATCACAGAACGGACTTGACCAGTCACGGCCCTGACCTCTGTGTCAACCCTGGGGTGTCATGTCAACACCCCCACCTTACGGTGTGGTACACTGACTGTACTTGATAGGGTTGTCTAATGATAACAGTCATGTGTCATAAAACAGTAACACTGCAGCACTGTACAAATATAAACAAGCTATGTCGGGTGAGTGATTATGTTGCACGGGTAATAAATGGTGTTGATGATACTTCTTATGCTGTGGAAAGAGAGATTCCATTCCTAACCTGAACTGGCTATGACTTTTCACCCATGTCTATGACACAATATAACAATATCGTCTGGAAATACGGAAAGGTGATTAGGAAAACAAATTTACAAACTGTACCCAAAGGGAATTAAAAAAAAAACTATTACTAATCATGTTAAAAGTCACAGTATGGTATAATTGTTGTTGAAATTGTATTGATATATGTGTGCGTGCGCTCGCGCGTGCGTTAGTTATGCATAATTAATGAACAGACTAACAGATGCCCTAATTGCTTATGTATCTGCACAACAATCACACCATCAGACACTTGAACTCTCGCCGACTGCTTTCAGAACGGTTTTAACGTCCAATGAATATGTTCCGCATCATTTTCATGAAATCACAGTAATAGCTGCAGGGAGTTAGCACTTCGAGTTTCCACGGCTCTTTAATTTACTGTTTCTGCTGGCAATACTACTGTTGATAAATATCATCTACTGCGTCAAAGAAACACTGAAAAGTGGCCGAAGAATTTACTCTACAAGTGTGACAAAACGCTGTAGTTGATGTAGTTGGTGAGAAAACTTCACAAGTTAAATTCGAGCAGTAATTGCAATAACAGCTTCCATTACACCCTCGTTATACTGGACAGAGGGTGTACCGTGTGTAGAATGTGTTCGCTGCATAAACAAAAACCGGCTTAACCCAGCAGTGGTCTAAACATTTATTTCAGACACAATCACAGAAATAGCACATGCAGACAGTTATCACTGAAGAAAGCTAGTAATATACATTTTTTTAAAAATTAATGAGACCAGCAAAACACATCACGGAATCTTAAAGATTTTGTAATGTGAATGTGTAGTGTAGTTAAAACCATATCCGCCTTATAAATGAAAGGTGCTGCATTCAATCCCTACGTGACTTCATTTTTTTTTAATTATGTGTGTGTGTGTGTGTGTGTTTTTTTTTTTTTAATATTAATTTTTTGGGGCTATCCTCCGAATAACGGTACTAAATTATCAAGGCCGAAAATATACCCTACTAGGGCCTTAGTCACATGTAAATTGCGGACCTCTTTCCGGCGACTATTTCGCCTCCGCCGAGAGTATCCCGCGGCGCGGAGGGAGCTAAACTAGATGGCTGGGACTCAGGAGATGCGGTAGCTGCTGCTGGTAAGTCCCCTGCTGATAACTGGTATAGTCGCCCGGAAGAGGACTATCGACACCTGCAAACGGTCGTGTGTCTTTCCGACTGCGATAATACACCATCTATCTGATGGTTGTTTCTGCAACGTCTGCTTCTGTGCAGAATGCTATTCTGTTGCAGGAAGGCATTGCAGGTCTCCTTGTCTCGTACAGATGCTACGAATTGTAGAATATTGCCGTTGTTGTCATCTTTTCACTACTCTTGCCTCAGCTGACACAGAAAGAATGCATGAACAATTCGTAATTTTCAAAAATACTGCACTTGCTGCTATGTGTAACTTCGTTCTTCCAATTGCTGTTATCAGAGTACTCAGTACTTTTAAGTAGTATCTTGCTTTAGTATTCCTAAGCCTACCAGTCCACAAATCCTACAGCTCATCTGCACACCACACTATAGACCAATACACACAGCCACACACAATAATTGGAACACTCATAAACATCCATAAAGCCACCCATACACGACTTCTCTTTCACTCATTCTCCTAATTATGATCCAGTTTCGTCCTTTTTAGGATGCAATTTTTTGTTATTTGAAGTCCCACCCTAGCAATTGTCTGAACGCGGTTTCTGAGACCTGTCGACGCCGATCCTCATCCACATGGTGGCACTTTGTGTCAACGGGTGTTTATCGCTTGTGTGATGTCCTAGTGGGGTAGAAAGTCAGTCAGTTAGTCATTCTCTCTTCTCTCTCTCTCTCTCTCTCTCTCTCTCTCTCTCTCTCTCTCTCTCTCTCTATCTCTATCTCACACAGCCACACACACACACACACACACTCACACAGATATCCCCCGTAAAAAATTATAAAACATTCTCAAGGGGTTCCTTCAGTAAAAAAAAAAAAAAAAAAAAGAGATCAGGAAGAGAAAATTCTTTAATGGATTACGTCTTTTTCTTTTTTTAACTGGAAGCTCACAGAAACATTAATATTCGGTTCTAATTGACGTAAAGACTCGATGGCGATATCGTTGAATTTTATTTTGCAGCTCTAGCCAGTGAAATGTGTTCATAAACTTTCAACAATTAGAGAAATTCTATAAAGGAAGCGGCCTATAACAGTTTCTTGCCCAACAAACAAACTGTTGATCAGTTTATTAATTACATTTCTATCCACGTTTGCTGTATGATCTTAGAAAGAGTTTTCCGTTTTGGTGTCAATTACTCTACTAACACAGAACTGTAGAGTAAACCTGGTAGAACATAGCTTAGTCGTTAAACATACCCTAACTGACTTGCTGGTTAAATCATGTATGTTTATTGCCTGTTAGAGAGACATCAAGGATTTTGCTCTTTAGGTCGTAGGTTTCTTATATCTTCAAGTAGATGCTCGGAAGGGGAGGGGATGGGAAAGGGGGGGGGGGGGAATCAGTCGTTCAGAATGTTATTCTATGTGCAAGCATTCTTGCAGCTTATTATCTTAATGCACCAATTGAATCTCTGACTTACCTTTCTTATCTAACTGCACATTTGTATTCATTTAATATTTCAATATTTATGTGAGGCGAGTGACATCCAGCAAATCGTCACTAGTTGTCCATAACCTATTGAGATAGGTAATGTGTTTCCATAAAGATTGAACAGATGGCCATATTCCACTTTGGTATGTATTTTGAATGTCATAAAACGGGACGTTCTTTGTGCTGCTATCATGCTTTATAGGTTGTGTGGTACTGGTCTTGAAGGCTGACACCAAGTTAGCTATCACTACACGTCTACAGTCAAAGATGCTGGCTCTGGCTACACAGCTAGAAGGCCATGCTCAATCAAAGTTACACAACACAGACACAATTTCAGCGCAATGCACTGTTTCAAAATGGAAATAAACTACAACGTGCCATGTACTGCGTTGTTAATATAGACAAATACAGATATTGGAAGAGGCAAAACATAGTTGATTACTTTAACAAATGTACCAAATGCACAAAAAACGTATTTTACTTTTTATATTAACAGTGATTTGCTAAGGGTGACCTTAATTATCAAAGAGCATACACATCAAAGACTGACAATAATGTCTACATTATCGTGCTTATCTGCCTTTACTGCGAAACAGTTTTTCGGAGGGTTTGTTACTTAATCTGTTATCCCACTGTGCATTTTCATTTCTTTGATGATAGGCTTTTCAGTATTATTGCCTATTATTATCATAATCGTCATCGTCATCATCATCACACATTTGACCACGATTACAATACTTACCTTGTCGTCTTTAATCTTTTCTGCAAATCCGAATCCTATGAGTTTCCAACTACGTTTTTTGGTCAACAAAATGGACTGTGGGTTGATGTTGCAATGGATGAGTCTCTCTGTGTTGTGCAAATAGGAGAGTGCTTCTGTGATCTGTTTACGAGAGAGACATAGCATAGCAACAACCGCAAATGCATACTTGGTATCAAAACTACTATGTGGCATACACGCCCAAACTAATAAAGCTATGCGGGTAAATCGAACGATATACAAATATACCATAGGTCTAACAGACAGACAGACAGACAGACAGACAGACAGACAGACAGACAGACAGACAGACAGACAGACAGACAGACAGACAGACAGACAGACAGACAGACAGACAGACAGACAGACAGAGAGACAGACAGACAGACAGACAGACAGACAGACAGACAGACAGACAGATAGATAGATAGATAGATAGATAGATAGATAGATAGATAGATAGATAGATAGATAGATAGATAGATAGATAGATAGATAGATAGATAGATAGATAGATAGATAGATAGATAGATAGATAGATAGATAGATAGATAGATAGATAGATAGATAGATGGATGGATGGATGGATGGATGGATGGATGGATGGATGGATGGATGGATGGATGGATGGATGGATGGATGGATGGATGGATGGATGGATGGATGGATGGATGGATGGATAGATAGATAGATAGATAGATAGATAGATAGATAGATAGATAGATAGATAGATAGATAGATAGATAGATAGATAGATAGATAGATAGATAGATAGATAGATAGATAGATAGATAGATAGATAGATAGATAGATAGATAGATAGATAGATAGATAGATAGATAGATAGATAGATAGATAGATAGATAGATAGATAGATAGATAGATAGATAGATAGATAGATAGATAGATAGATAGATAGATAGATAGATAGATAGATAGATAGATAGATAGATAGATAGATAGATAGATAGATAGATAGATAGATAGATAGATAGATAGATAGATAGATAGATAGATAGATAGATAGATAGATAGATAGATAGATAGATAGAGAGTGAAACAGAAAGAATAGGAGAGGAGAAAGCAGCGACATGGAAGGGAGAAAACGTGATAAATATTATTTCCCTAATGAATTGGCACTTGATATCCTTAGAAAGTAAGATCAGATAAAGAAACGTTAATGGGATACCAGCCCAGGTAGGGTTAGAGGGTGAGAGACATGCACAGGTAGGGTTATAAGGTGAGAGACACGCACAGATAGGGTTATAAGGTGAGAGACACGCACATGTAGGGTTATAAGGTGAGAGACACGCACAGGTAGGGTTATAAAGTGAGAGACACGCACAGGTAGGGTTATAAGGTGAGAGACACGCACAGGTAGGGTTATAAGGTGAGAGACACGTACAGGTAGGGTTATAAGGTGAGAGACACGCACAGGTAGGGTTATAAGGTGAGAGACACGTACAGGTAGGGTTATAATGTGAGAGACACGCACAGGTAGGGTTATAAAGTGAGAGACACGCACAGGTAGAGTTATAAAGTGAGAGACACGCACGGGTAGGGTTATGAGGCGAGAGACACGCACGGGTAGGGTTATAAAGTGAGAGACACGTACACGCAGATTTGAAGTCGATGCCTATGCCTATCGCAATTGTGGTAATACTACTTGCCTATGTTACATATGATTGTTAAGACAACGAGGAATGTTTAACTTAGCAGGCAGATATTGTTTTAGTGTAGTTATGAGTCTGGTAAGTCTAATATTGATTAAAGCCTAAATGATGCTAGGACACTACGAGGCGACTAACAGTTGTTTTGTAGGCAGGAACTGCTTCAGATAGTAACAATGGCCGGAACTTATTGCTTTCGTTATTTGTTTATTTAAAATATAATTAAAATGTCTGTCTCCACATTTCTATGCATACTCGGTGAGTCAGCTACAATTACGACATGCCAGTTCAGCTGATTCTAAAACCAGCTTGAGGCAGCAGCGACTGCCTCCTTTTTTGGGGGTCAAACTTGACGGTATGCAAGCTTTGTTGCATTACGCGACATTCGTTTGATTTTGTTATAAACACCCAGGCAATTCGTCTAACTTTCAACACAGAGCCATCTGTATAGATAATCACATCACCTGATGTGAGAAATTTGAATATGTTGTAACAATGGGCCAAATTTGTGAAAAACAAAAATGGGAATAAGTTGTAATAAAGACATATACAGACAGATAACTAGGCATATTAATGAAAAAAAAGGTAGAACACGACATTGTCGTTCCGTTCCGCTCCAAAATGGGATGCGATTTTTTTGTTATTTGAAAATTCTCACCTGGGCAGTCGTCAGGGCCATTTCACATAACGGTTAAACGGGAAATTCTCCTCCGAATGGTAGCACTTTGTGTCACCTGATGTTTTATTACCAGTTGTGCGGTTCGGGTCTGGTTAAATGTCACTCACTCTAACAAAAGGTACTGGGCATAATTCGTTCTTGTTCGTGGTATGTGTGACTGGATTTGTTAATTTTTAAATAATAATACTTTGTCCTATTGTTATATCAAATAGCCTGCGGTACAGCATGGGCTACCATGTGCTCTAGACTAGACAATACAGTTGTCTGTTGCGTGTTTCCTTAATAACATTTTGTTTCTTTGTAATCTTTTTCCTTAAGTCTTTGTAATGTGTGTGTGTGTGTGTGTGTGTGTGTGTGTGTGTGTGTGTGTGTGTGTGTGTGTGTGTGGTTTCGACACGAGGACAATACAGACTGTCATATATTTACATTACTTTTATTTTGGTAAGCGTCGGGAGAAAGGAAACTGGCCCATTTTGGTTAGAACGATATCTGAAGGACCAGTGGGCTCACAGCCGTCTTTAAACAAAACAAAAAAGTCCATCTCTTTTCGGATTTGAACTCACGACCTTTAGATGAGCAGACGAGTGACTAGCCGTTACTATTACGGGTGTTCCCTGGGTAGTTACGAAGTAACAAAGTTATGGGCCTAACTAAATGTGCATCTACATATGTCTACTACCCTCTAGTCTCAATAACTGACAGCTGCACTAACTAAGCCAACTAAATCCAGCCAAGCCTGAAGTGAGACAGACTTGGTGGTTGCCAACATGACTTCACCACTAAGTCGTGCGGGATCACAGGGTCAACGAATCTCGCGAGGAGACAGTTGTGCCGGGCAAAAGCAGCATTTATAGCACATTTATCCTAGCAGACGCACAACGTCCTCTTTTAAATGAAGAAATATCAAACCAAGTAAGATGAGGATTATAATACAAAGATAAAATAAACAGTGTGGTGAAGAAGTAGGATATTCAGACGAAATAAAGAAAGAAAGTAAAAAAAAAATGAAAGAAAGAAAGAAGGAAAGAAAGAAAGAAAGAAAGAAAGAAAGAAAGAAAGAAAGAAAGAAAGAAAGAAAGAAAGAAAGAAAGAAAGAAAGAAAGAAAGAAAGAAAGAAAGAAAGAAAGAAAGAAAGAAAGAAAGAAAGAAAAGGAAGATGAGAAGAAGAACAAGAAACAGAAAGCGAAAAAAAAGCTAGGAAGAAGCAGAAGAAGAGGAATAATAATAATAATAATAATAATAATAATAATAATAATAATAATAATAATAATAATAATAATAATAATAAGAATAATAATAAGAAGAAGATGAAGAAGAAGAAGAAGAAGAAGAAGAAGAAGAAGAAGAAGAAGAAGAAGAAGAAGAAGAAGAAGAAGAAGAAGAAGAAGAAGAAGAAGAAGAAGAAGAAGAAGAAGAAGAAGAAGATGAAGAAGAAGAAGAAGAAGAATGAGGAGGAGGAACAGAATAATAATAATAATAATAATAATAATAATAATAATAATAATAATAATAATAATAATAATAATAATAATAATAATAATAACAGAAAGAAGAACAACAACATCAAAAAGAACAATGTGGAGGAAGAGGGGGAGAATATTAATAATTAGATGAGGCACTTTGGGAACAAATGGTAAATTTTAGCAAATATTTTTTTTAAACCAGATTTTTTTTTAGATATATGCGTAGCAAAAGCTAGTACTCATGGGTCTATTTCGACTAGTGTTCAGACTGATTCCGGATTATAAGTAAAGACGGCTGGTGTAGTTCTGACAACGTTACCCGCTGTGTGTCCATTAGTTTACACACATTGGGGGGCTGTGCTTTACCCAAAAAAGCAGCTCAAATCCTTATACACTGGACTATGAAGACAACAACAATTCCAGTTAGGAATGCAGTTCCGTAATAAGAATATTAATAATAGAAGACCTTTTCAACGCCTACATGCGTACCGGGCATATAGGGCTGAACCTAAATTTTATAGATCAATCGGCACTAGGTGGGTGATGTGGTCAGCACTAGGTGGGTGATGTGGTCAGCACTAGGTGGGTGGGGTGGTCAGCACTAGGTGGGTGGTGTGGTCAGCACTAGGTGGGTGGTGTGGTCAGCACTAGGTGGGTGGTGTGGTCAGCACTAGGTGGGTGATGTGGTCAGCACTAGGTGGGTGATGTGGTCAGCACTAGGTGGGTGAGGTGGTCAGCACTAGGTGGGTAATGTGGTCAGCACTAGGTGGGTGGTGTGGTCAGCACTAGGTGGATTATGTGGTCAGCACTAGGTGGGTGAGGAGGTCAGCACTAGGTGGGTGGTGTGGTCAGCACTAGGTGGGTGGTGTGGTCAGCACTAGGTGGGTGGTGTGGTCAGCACTAGGTGGGTGATGTGGTCAGCACTAGGTGGGTGATGTGGTCAGCACTAGGTGGGTGAGGTGGTCAGCACTAGGTGGGTAATGTTGTCAGCACTAGGTGGGTGGTGTGGTCAGCACTAGGTGGATTATGTGGTCAGCACTAGGTGGGTGAGGAGGTCAGCACTAGGTGGGTGGTGTGGTCAGCACTAGGTGGGTGATGTGGTCAGCACTAGGTGGGTGATGTGGTCAGCACTAGCTGGGTGATGTGGTGAGCACTAGGTGGGTAATGTGGTCAGCACTAGGTGGGTGATGTGGTCAGCACTAGGTGAGTGATGTGGTCAGCACTAGCTTGGTGATGTGGTCAGCACTAGGTGGGTGGTGTGGTCAGCACTAGGTGGGTGATGTGGTCAGCACTAGGTGGGTGATGTGGTCAGCACTAGGTGGGTGATGTGGTCAGCACTAGCTGGGTGATGTGGTGAGCACTAGGTGGGTAATGTGGTCAGCACTAGGTGGGTGATGTGGTCAGCACTAGGTGAGTGATGTGGTCAGCACTAGCTTGGTGATGTGGTCAGCACTAGGTGGGTGGTGTGGTCAGCACTAGGTGGGTGATGTGGTCAGCACTAGGTGGGTGATGTGGTCAGCACTAGGTGGGTGATGTGGTCAGCACTAGGTGGGTGATGTGGTCAGCACTAGGTGGGTGATGTGGTCAGCACTAGGTGGGTGATGTGGTCAGCACTAGGTGGGTGATGTGGTCAGCACTAGGTGGGTGGTGTGGTCAGCACTAGGTGGGTGGTGTGGTCAGCACTAGGTGGGTGGTGTGGTCAGCACTAGGTGGGTGGTGTGGTCAGCACTAGGTGGGTAATGTGGTCAGCACTAGGTGGGTGATTTGTCAGCACTAGGTGGGTGAGGTGGTCAGCACTAGGTGGGTGGTGTGGTCAGCACTAGGTGGGTGGTGTGGTCAGCACTAGGTGGGTTATGTGGTCAGCACTAGGTGGGTGAGGAGGTCAGCACTAGTTGGGTGGTGTGGTCAGCACTAGGTGGGTGGTGTGGTCAGCACTAGGTGGGTGGTGTGGTCAGCACTAGGTGGGTGGTGTGGTCAGCACTAGGTGGGTGATGTGGTCAGCACTATGTGGGTGATGTGGTCAGCACTAGGTGGGTGATGTGGTCAGCACTAGGTGGGTGATGTGGTCAGCACTAGGTGGGTGGTGTGGTCAGCACTAGGTGGGTGGTGTGGTCAGCACTAGGTGGGTGATGTGGTCAGCACTAGGTGGGTGATGTGGTCGGCACTAGGTGGGTGATGTGGTCAGCACTAGGTGGGTGGTGTGGTCAGCACTAGGTGGGTGGTGTGGTCAGCACTTGGTGGGTGATGTGGTCAGCATCTGTCCGGGTAATTCCATAGATCCAGGCAAAATAATTGGTTGATCTTTTATTCCAGCAGGTTATTACCAGGAGACTCTTCACATAAAATCAGATGTAACAGATGAAATACACTGGATGGGAGGTCACAGAAAGGCCCTGAAGTGTGTAGGGGGAAGAGATACGCAATAATAATAAATCAAGCAATTAGAACCCAGTCTCTGTTTATTATTTCTTTGCAGAATCTTCTCATTCGTATTTGTCTTAAGTTTGTATTTCTCGTATAGGAAGTTGTGGTTTATGCGAGAGTGACAGACAGACAAAATGATAAACAAAAATACATGAAGATGAAAGACAAACAGACGGATAGTCGGAGGGATGATCGGAGGGATAGATGGATGGATGGACAGACGGACGAAGGGAAAGACAGACAGACAGACAGACAGACAGACAGACAGACAGACAGACAGACAGACAGACAGACAGACAGACAGACAGACAGACAGACAGACAGACAGACTGACAGACAGACAGACAGACAGACAGACAGACAGACAGACAGACAGACAGACAGACAGACAGACAGACAGACAGACAGGCAGTCAGGCAGGCAGACAGTCAGGCAGACAGTCAGGCAGGCAGACAGACAGACAGACAGACAGACAGACAGACAGACAGACAGACAGACAGACAGACAGACAGACAGACAGACAGACAGACAGACAGACAGACAGACAGACAGACAGTTAAACTCAGTGGATGGATAAGGTGAAGAATTAAGGATAGTTGGGCCCAAAGACAGACAGACAGTTTACAGATAGACTTGCATTCAAATCGAACGAAATTAAATACAAGCAATTACCTGAACGATGCCGTGTTTAATTTCCAGTTCAATAAACGAGTGGTCCTGTGGAGATGAAAGGAACACAGCAATCAAGAAGGAGTGCATTCAGTCCATGTGACAGCTGAAGCAGCAGGTGTGCTTGAGTTGCCACTTGTTTACGACTATTTTTGATAATTTACCGCAGACTTCCATATCCTCTTAAAGCACCATGGGGATTAGGAAGTAACCTAGAAGTAAAAGCATCCTGCGTGGTGCCACATCCCCCTTTGAGTACCTATTTGCCTTTAAAAAGACGGGCCTGCAACGTGCGTCAGATGCAGGTACTTGTTTGTACTTTGTTTACATCAATACTTTCATTAATTAATGTCGTGCAATTAAGTATTATTTCATTAAGCTATAATACAAATAATATGAAGGACTTTGGAATCCAAAGAACTGAATCACCGTGACCAAACTATGTATGGAAGACACTTACAATATAGTCACATATAAAAGCAGAAAGTCATATCCTTTTTAAATAACATCTGGCTGAAAGCAAGGTGAGGCTTTTAAGGAAATTGATAGAAGAGTACTGTAGGAGAAACTACAAGAATATTTGGTTATGCAGATGACATTGAAATCTTTAGATAAAATAAATTAGAGAATGTAAAAACACTGACGCTTTTAATAGAAGCAGCTTACAGAATGGGACAAGATATTGTTCAGGACAAGACAGAATGAATGATAATACAAAGACAGGGAAAGGATATAAACTTCGGCCACATACAAGACGTTAATATGAAAATCAAATGAACGGAAAGATATAAGTACTTGGATACAAACTTCAACTGTTCCACATACTACGAGAAGTATTACAAGCTAGAATACAATTTGGAAATCAAGTATACTATGCACATTTAACAGATGCAAAAGTCAGTCTCTGTCTAGCATCATCAGGATCAAGGAGTATAAAACGTTGATGATACCAGTTGTTTTATTTGGATCTTTGAGCACAACTTAAGACAAGAAGCCTCATTAAAAATTCTTCTTCTTCTTCTTCTTCTTCTTCTTCTTCTTCTTCTTCTTCTTCTTCTTCTTCTTCTTCTTCTTCTTCTTCTTTTTCTTCTTTTTCTTCTTCTTCTTCTTCTTCTTATTTTTCTTCTTTTTCCTAACTTGTCCTTCTGTTTCTGTTTATTCTTGTTCTTATTTTTATCTTCCTTGTCTTTCTCTCTTTCTTTCTTTGTTTCCAAACAGAGAGATGATGCTAAGCTGTTTGACATCATGCCAAGAGGGACACCGGTGTCAACAATTATTACAATTACATGAGACCAAAAGTTGGTGAAGAACATGACTTTCAAAGCCACACAACGTGAACCATGAGCTCGGGAATGCACTAACAAGTCAGTAAAATGAGTGTCACATAAAGAGTGACTTATACCCGGCGGTCATCATTAAACGTCGACTTGGCAGCTAACTTCCAACTTACCCTGATCTCTGCAGAAATATTGGGCGGCAACCTGTCGTGATTTCCGAGCACATTGGCAAGACTGGCAAATACTGGCTCTGTAGCAAACGCAAGACTGTCACTGGGGAGCACAGGAATGACAAAGTTAAACGTAGGTTCTGGGGCAGAATATCATGAAGGTTGGTGAATACAGTAACACGTCAATGCTGATGTCATATATCATATATATCATTGTTCTAGTACTGTCACTGCATGCACCCTGTTTATAACAACAAAAAGAACATATTCCATATGTGAATATTAGTATGCAATTGATGAAAGACAACTGATTATTTCTGCTAACACTGGACAACAAGATTTCATGCAAGTAATGGCACCGAGATTTAAAAAAAAAGCAATTTCTTAATGATTTTACTAACCATGTCAGTTACTTCAGAAGAAATCCAAGTGGGAACGGAGTAAATGAATCCTGATAGAGATTCAATTGTTTAAGTCTTGATCCGAGCAGCTTTATGGTAACTGCACACGACATCGATACATTTACCCTTTCATCCACTTTTGATATTTTCTTACTAAGATACTGCAGCAGGTGTGTGTGTGTGTGTGTGTGTGTGTGTGTGTGTGTGTGTGTGTGTGTGTGTGTGTGTGCGTGCGTCCCAAACTGTGGGAATAGGGTGTTGTCCTGGCCCCAGATCTTGCATCCTAAATAACGCCTTTTCCCAATTCCCTACAAATTTTACCAGTTTTCGGCACTGTTACCACACTTTCAGTGCATCACTAATGCTGGATTTACGCTCATCCTCTTCATGTAGCAGGTCTTTTGCAGAACGTCGCTCTCATCAATATGCCTGAAAGAAACTCGGTCTCTCGCCAGTTCTCCCGCCTCATGCACTTTCACACTCAAGGAGTCACTTATATCCTGTGCCCATCTTCGTGTCGGTCGGCCCCTGCCCATCCTTCCTGGTACCAAGCCTTCTGCTATAGTTTTTTTTTCCAATCCGTCGTGGCGCTTGATATGACCAAAATATTTCAGCTTCCGAGAAAAGATGCTGTTTATTAGCCAATCTTCCTTGATGTTCAGATCTTTTAAGATGTCAATAGTTCTCCTCTCCTTTGTCCAAGATATTCTGAGAATCTTTCTATAGCATTTCAGCTCAAAAGCCCCTATTCTCTTTCTTAAGAACTGAGAGATAGTCCACGACTCACATCCGTATGTAGCCACAGGGAAGAGGCATGCTCTCAAAATTCTAATTTTTATCTCCTTGCTGGTGCTTAACCATAGACTTTTAAGGCTGTTTAATCTTTGCATTGCTATGGGCATCCTCCTTTTAATTTCTGTTAAACAGTCTCCATTGATATCTATTATAGAGCCTAGGTATTCAAAGTTTGTGACATTTTCCATTTCTTCATCATTTATTGTTATTTTTGGGTGACAGCCAGTTTTATCCGTGGACATTATTTTCGTTCCATACTTTTCATAATAGTCCACAGTTTGCGGTGCTGGACACAATCAAATGCCTTGCTATAATCAATAAAACAAGCATGAAAATCTTTGTTGTATTCTCTGCATTTTCACAAATTATTCTCATATTAAAGATGTGATCCCTAGTTCCTCTACCCTGTCTGAAACCCGCTTGTGCTTCATCTAGCTCACATTACGGCTGCGCTATACTGTTGAAATAGAGCAAGTGTTAGCAGCCTGCATTTTTAGTAGCGAATTGTGATAGAATGTCTCGTTGCAAAGAAGGAAACTGTTTTGAACATTCACAAATATCTATGTGATATATGGAAGTTTTGCAGCTGACGCGAATACAGGCAGTCGCTGGGTCCAGAGAGTCAAAGAATCAGAAAATGGAAATACAGATCTACTTGCTCGGCCGAGCTGTGGACGTGCTGCCACAGCCACTAACGCTGAAACGCTGAAATGAACTGAGGACTGCATTCTTTCTGATGGGTAGTCAACGGTTGCCCTCGCAGCTGCCAGGTAGAATGGCAGTGTAAATACAGTTATACAGACGCTTGGATTTTTTTGGGTTTGGGCAAGTGGGCTTCTCGAAGTCTAATAAATTACCACCTATTGCAAATAAAGCAACTTCATCTGAATTGTTTGAACATTACGATGCTTTTGGTGAGAACTGTTTTGGCTAAGATCTTTACCTGTGATGAAACCTAGGCACAAACTTGAAACTAAGACAAGAAAGATAATCTGCAGTCACAAAGAAGACAGAAATTCAAGTTATCTACTTCAGCTGGAAAGGTCCTGATCACTGTTATTTGGGACACGAAAAGGAGTGGTTATTGTGGATGTTATAACAAGAGAAGAGACAATCAGGGATGAAGCTTACATTGGGACATAAAATTAAACACAGTCAACTTTTGCAGAGGCCGCCTGCATCCTCACACAAGTCTGGCAACACGGGAAGCAATCACGAAACTGAATTGGACTGTACCAGTGTTGCCACTTTGGATGTTTTACATCCAGATTTAGATGTTTTTCCTTGCATTTAGATGGCGTTTTTGACGTTTAAATGGTATATGTTTTTCTAGTTGTTTCTCATTTGAAGTTAATTTATCAAATGTAACCTAAGAAACAGCATGAAATTTGACCTCTTAAATGAGATCTTGACAATAAAATTTGGCCTGATAAGAGTAGGACTTATCAGCTCCCTGATTGGGTATTAAAAGAAATTGGGACAGATAAAGCATACAAGAGTCATTTTGGATCTGAAGCTTCAACTTTATCATCCAAGCTAAGTTTATCCTGTGGATCTTGTAAGGCAGACTTCAGTAAAGATGAGGACATGATTCTATAAGGTTAGTCATATCAACTGCAATGTAATGTGTGACTTTTTCCGTTTGGATGTTCGTTCTAGATGTTCTCCACGCAAATTTAGATATTTTTTGACACCGCTTTGGATGTTTTTTGTCAAAGAGAAGTGGCAACACTGGACTGCATTACGCCATCCACACTATAGTCCCGATGTGGTACCGCTGATTTTTATTTCGTTGGTTCACTTAACGATAAACTCCGTGGGGTAAGGCTTGAAGAAGATGAATGAGTGAGTGATTCGCGCTGTGAAGAAATGGCTACATGATCAGGACCACATTTTGCACAGGCAAGAAATGCACGCTGTCGTTTCGCGATGGCATAAAGCCCTACAAGTTGTTTGTGATCATATTGAATAATACTGATGTGTACGAGACATATCCAGGTATATTATGTATAAATTGCATTTTTTAAACAGCAATTAAATGGGGGAAAAGGGGGGGGGGGAGAATAAGGTCTGTTATTTCCCGTATTTAAAAATTAAGCTTTTCCGTTGGTTTGTTCATTCATTCATAGTGTGTTCCACAAAACATGACACATGGTAGCTCTAGCGACGACTTATAGGGATCTTCGAAACACATGTACTTACTGGATGACTAAATTCAAATCCGAACCCAAAACATTTAGACCGCGAGGCCAAAGGCTTAACCACGTTACTGTAGCAACACGTTGTTTGTGCTGCCTTACTATTTCATAATGCGACCTTAAGAAAAAGGACCACAGAAAAGTCCTAAGAAAAATATGGGGGATGGTGGAAAGGATGGGAAAAGGGGGGGGGGGGGGGTGTTGAGCAAGATGACAAGAGAAGATCTCCTATAGTTTGGCTTCAAGTCATGAATGATGATCTCTATCAGAAATGATATTTTATCAGGTTGATAGAAGATGCAAGTCGGTACATAAAACAAAAGGCAGTGGACAGATATGATTACCAACGTCACATGCATGGACTAAAAAAAGAAGAAGAAGAAGAACAAAAAGAACAAGATCAAGAACAAGGAGACAAGAAGGAAAGGAGGAAAGAAAGAAGGAAGTAGAGAAAGAAGGAATAAAAAGGTGGAAGGGCAAAAAGGAAGAAGGAAGAAAAGATAGATGGAAGTAAAGGAAGGAGAAGATAAAGGAACTAAAAGAAGGATCTGAAACAAGGAGGAAATACAGGAGCGTGGAAATAAATAAAGGGGGACGGAAAAAAAAAAAGGAAAAAAAAAAATAGCATAAGGAAGAAGAACAACGGAAAAGATACTGGAGTCTTTTATGGGTAATCATATGAAAAGCCAACTCTACCTTCCACCTGCAGTACACCAGTGACCCATTGTACCCGAGAAGGTACTATGGCATATCTCCACTTTCAATTTCCTAGTAAGAAACGCTTTCCCACACGCCCTGGGAGTCCGCTTACATGTCTTTGAACAGATGCCAGCAATAGAGGGCCCATTTCTTCATCACAGCAGTCTAGGGCTTTAATGAAGGACTCGGTGTCCGTTTAGGAGTAATGGAAAACTATTGAACCTTAACAAAGTGCATAGTGATATCACAAACAGTAAAACATTCTTGGGTTGTTTCCGTCCCCATCCCCAGCTGCCAGCGCAGTTCCAATTCCAATAGTGCCAGTCGTAGTCTGGGTGTTTGTCCGTCTTGCCTTTCCTCTGCACGTAGTTTACCAGACGAACCCCCTGGTCACACCCAGGTGCATCATTCTCTCCAGCCAATAATAATCTAGTTTCTCTTCTGACTTGGTTACTTGTTCCCAAAGGTCTCTGACAACATCTGCCTTGTAATGTATCAATTCACCAGCCAGCGGTGCATATAAAGCCAGTCTGTCTGCCTGTTCATGGCCTGGAAAAAATATCTAAAGTATGCTCACTACCCGTAAAGTAAAGCTTGCCACTCTGCTCGAAGCAATCCTGTCTTCACTTTTTTGAGCATGCTATCAGAGTCCGTTACAATTGTCGGCTCTGTGGCTAAGTCGATGCGAACGCTTCGTAATGCCGGGATGCAGGGTTCGATCCCAGCTGCGGGCCATGCGCCTTGCGTTGGTTTAGACAGTAGTATCAAGAAAGCCGACCGTCCAGTAAGCAATGGCAAACTACTGGACGTAAATTTGCCTAGAAAAACCACACAACAGTTGGGTTTGGTCCTGCAACGTCCTGTAAAGGGTACGCAACTAACCTCTATATTTCTTCTGCCTTCTATCACCCACTCGTTTATATTCAATTTACTATGATTTATACTAGCTTTGGGAAGTTAGAAATCAATAAAATTGCAATTTCCTAACATAGACTCAAGTTTTTCTTTCT